AGAGGGAAAGGGGGAGGGAGGGAGAGGGAAAGGGAGGGAGGGGTGGAGGGGGGCTGAGAGAGGGAGGGGAACGGCATTGCAAGTGGGGGTTGACGTGTTGGGGTGACGTGGGGCGGGGGTAAGTACCACGACCACTGCCACTGCCAGTAGTACTAGTACTACCAACTAGTACTACCAACAGTGCTATGATTACCACTACCACTATCACTATCACCATCGCGAACTACTCCTCATTCGCTGAGTAGTCATCTTGTCCGTTTTTACTCCGCGGTTTGCCAGTATATAACCGCCACTCGCAACCCCCATCCCCACCACCAGATTGTGGGCCCTGTCTAGCGACGGCACGTACTTTGTCGTACAGGCCTCGGAAGGCCCTAGAGGTCATTTGCTGCGCCCCGGCGCCGCCACTCCCGCAGCATTGGGTGACAGACAGGCGAACAGCTTGCAGCGGGTACAGGCGTCCAAGGTACGACATCACAGGATTCCATCCACCCCTTCCTTTTCTGCAATCGATTGTCTGTGCTTTGTCTTCCCGCCGGCCTTTCCCCTTCTTCCTCTATTTCCCTTTATTTTCTTTATATTTCTTCCGCTTTGGACGTGTCGCACTTGTTTCTTCCTCCCTTTTTTAATCACCAGAGGACTTTTGATGATCACATTATCATTATCGTAACTCGCATGCGGTGTGCTCATCACACGTACGGCGTCATCTGTACGGCATTACCCTCTTTTTTCCTCGCTCGTCCCAAAACCTCCTTCGCTTCGTTTACATTTTTGCAGATGGCCACCGTTTACTCCTGCGTCGACGGAGACGATGGGGACGGGGGCCGTCGTACAGCCTCACCGCACACTGCCACCGCGGCAACTGACAATCTTAACAACGACCATAACGGCCTCAACCACCACCATCACAACCACCACCTCGCAGCCTATTCTGAACAGGGAGTTGTCTTGACGTCAACGGCGGGGGGGACGGCGGGCTGCCGTACCGGCGCTGCCGCGTCGTCTTCGCAGCGTAGCTCCAGAGCGAATCCGATGACCCGTGGGTCGTGTGGCGGTGCCGCTGGCGGCGCCGCGACGGCGGCGGCGCCTTCGCGTCTCCCTCACGACTTGGCGGATTTGGCCGCGCTAACTGGCGGCTCTCTAACGGACTTTGCTGTGCTGCCTCTTATATCGGGGGGGGACGTGGTGGGGGCCGTAACCTTGGGTTTGCAAAGGTACGACATGTCGACCGGGGGGGACGTGGTGGGGGCCGTAACCTTGGGTTTGCAAAGGTACGACATGGCGACGGGGGGGAAATTCGGGGGGAAATGGTGTGTGGGGGGGGTGATTGAAAGCAGTGGTCGTGTGTATGTGTGTTTTCGGGTTTGATCGTCGTACATTGGGGGCTAGTGTGTTGGGTTCACCCATCAAGGGGTGAGGCGCAGAAATCATTATTGTCAGTTAGTTGGTTACTTAGGGTGGTTTGAGTTTCCCAACCGGCCTAGCACGTTTTTGTGTTTTGACGCCATTTATCCTTGGTGCGGCCGTTTCTTACCCCGTCATCGCCCGCCTTCCTTTCCAACTGCCAACTGCCAACGACTCTAGAGCGCAAGTGCCGCCCCAGCGGCGGTCTGCCGGTCGTACGGATCACAACCAAATTAACCATCATCACAATCAGCACAACTCATCGTCGTCCTCGTCGGAGGGCGACGAGGAGGAGCAACAACAGAAGAAGCACAAAAAGAAAAAACAGCGCCGGCTTCGAGTTGTATCGGGATCGAACTCGGGATCTGGATCCGCCGAAGAAAACGAAAACAATCATCCGGTTGCCGTACCGGTTATAGCATCAGCACCACCACCAGCAGCAGGCGGCGCGCCGCGCCGCCAGCTCTCGATTACTGCAGGCGGTACGGCAGGCGGTACGGCAGCGATGGCGGGATCTGGTGTAGAGCGCTCTCCGCCGTCGTTGACAGATCGCATTCGTCGTGCACTGACACGCGGCGCGAGCGGCGGGTTAACCCCCCCGAATAAAGGCGGCGGCGGCGGTAGCGGTAGCGGTGGACCCGACGGACCTGCCGGACGCGCCGGCAGCGTCACCGCCCCCGGCGGGCGCCCGGCGGCGGCAGCTCCCCCGCCGCCGCCGCCGCCTCTCCCAACCACTTCTTGGCTTCACTCAGCCGCCTGCGTCTATCAGCTGAGTCAACTGGCTCACTTTTTGGGGTATGGTTTCTTCTCCGACACCGAACAGTCAGCGTTCGTTGCACAGAGCTGCAGCCTCGTGAGCGGCGTGTCGTCGGCACCGGACGTTCAAAACCTGGTCAACTGCCTCATCGGTACGACAAAAGGCCTTGTATACCAACGATTTCGATTACAGGTACGGCACGCCGTACGGTACCGCATGGTAGGAGTCATGTTTCTGTTATATAGGGCTGTGTTGTTGATGTCGTTACAGGGTGGTGGTATAGCTTCACCAGCGGCCCCCTTTCCCGGGGCAGTCCCTGCTCTCCCCTGCTAGAGGGGCACCCTAATCCGTTCACCCCATCCGACTTCAGAATGTATTCGTTGGGTTCAGCAACTCACCACCAGCATCCAACCAAATCTAGCGGATCAACGGCGCCTCAACTTAGTTCCTGGTCAGCTCGCAAGTTGATATAATCACGTCCTGTGTTGTTGTATAGAAGTCGGTGACCGTCTCGTGGTTAAGACGTTCTGGTGTTGCGACGTGATATGGAAAGAAAAAACTAGTCGACGATTCAAACTCACAAACCCTAAACTAAGACAAGCTGTTATGAAACATTAAAACAAGCTGTTATGAAATTATTGAACTAAAGGCAGCTTGTAATTTCTAATTATGAACATCCGTCCATCCATCCATCCTTCCATCCATCCATCCATCCTTCCAGGCGCAATGTCTAGTGGCGCTCGTACACAGCAGCGGCGCCACCGCTGCATTCTTTAAGCAGCAGCGTACACCACGTGGATCGACTACTCGTACGTACGGCGGTGGCGTGGCCCACCAGGGTGGTGCCGCCGCCGCTGGCGGCGGCGCCGGCGGTGCCGGACCTCTCCTTGCGGTGCAAGGCCGCGTGCTTTCGCAGCGGGACATGCAGCCGTCGACGTCGCTTCCGCATCGACAGGCGGCGGCGGCGGCGGCGGCGGTCAGCGCCGGGCACTACGGTCCCGGAGCAGGGACGTCGGCGCTGCCGACGGCGACGGCGCTGTTGCAAGCGAATCTGAGCAATACCTCCCAGGGAGCCGCCGCTGGCGGCGGCGGCGGAGGCGGCGGCCCTGCTGGCGGCGGCGGAGGCGGCGGAGGTGGTGGCGTTTCTGCAAGCCTGCATGGGTTATCGGCGGTACTGTTGGGCCGAAAGACGCGGAGTCAGTCGCAAATGCGTACAACACGGAGCATACCGCTGCAGGTACATGTGCCGTACACATACCGAGCACAGTGTTTGACTCGCTAATGGATCCCCGATCAGAAGTGCGGTACTGTTTGTAATATTTGTAATGTTTTTCATACTACTGCGGTACTGTTTGTAATATTTGTAGTGTTTTTCATACTACTTTTAGTTTATTTGATTTATTGCATCACTTTTTTTGCATCATATGGTGGTCTCTCCCTCCCTCGCCTCGTTATGAAATTCCCCAATTGCTAACTTTTCCAACTACCAAACTAACCAACCTATCAAACTAACCAACCTACCAAACTAACCAACCTTCCAAACGACCAAAACTCACCGACAACTAAACGCCCTGCGGTCCATGCGACCCAATGGTCGTCTGATTTTTTACAGGATAACGAGAACTTGTTGGGCTACGTCTCCGAAACCATGTCCACGAGTGTCACGGTGGGGCCCTGGTGTACGACATGTTCCATATTCCCATCACTTGTTGTTATGTGCGGAATTTGGGGCATCCACGATTAGGTGTACGACTAGACAAGATATGGCAAATCATGGGATGGCGTCTTTTCGTCGTCTTTTCCTTCTTACGAATTAACGACACGTGCTTACGTACGCACGCACATACATAAACATACATTCATACACAAACACGCCATTTTCTTCTTATCGCTGCTCAGATCATTAAAAAACACACACGCCCGCACTCTTCTCTCTCTCCCTCCCTCCCTTTGCCCCCCCACTCGCTCGTGGTTCGTCTCCCCCCCCCCCGCTCCCCCGCAGGCCACGGTTATTTCCCTCTCTCACACGCTCCTACATGATGCCCTGCATTCGGGGCCTCCGCACCAGCCCCCCTCGGGTACGGCAATCCGTAGCTGTGCTGATGCGTTGGCACGGGATGCCGTACCGATTCGAGACATATCTCTCGCGTGTCGACTCTGCGATTCAAGATTTGGAGGAGGTGAAGTGTGCGTGTGCGTGTGTATTTTAAGGGTTGGTTTGGGGTTTTTAAGGGCTGGTTATTTTGGTTTGATACAAAAAATCGATCTGACCAAACGCGCGTTAACGGCAGAGCATTTTACGGTTTTACGGTTTTGGGAGTGTGAGAGGCGTTACGGTCATGACGATGTTTTCATGTTGTTTTGGGGATTGCGTTCCCATCCTTTCGTCGTACTTGCCGTACTTGACCTTCGCATGCGTATAATGCGCGCGCATTTATAATTGACAAAGCGTTCGTACACATGCAGGCTTTGGTGGTGGCGGCAGCGGCGGTGGCGGCGGCGGCGGCGGCGGCGGCGGTGGCGGAGGCGAAGACTCTATCAACAATAGCGGCGCCTTTGCGGGGCATTCCGCCAGCCATGCACCCCCCCTCTCCGCGTCTCCGTCACTTCTTAGAAGGAGTACCTGTGGCCGGCATGTGCCGTTGGGAAGTCTGGTGATTGCGCTAGGGCTAGGTTTCGGAGCATCCGCTGCCGGTGGCGGCGGCGGCGGTGGCGGCGGCGGCGGTGGCGGCGGCGGTGGCAGCACTCGCATCAGCCGCGCCGGCGGTGGCGGTGTCGTACCTGTACGAGGCCTTATGGAAGCCCATCCCGTCAGCATGGGCGAAGATAGCTCTATCCAGAATGCTGGCACGGTTACGTTTGGCGGTGGCGGAGGTGCCGGACTGTACGGCGCTGCTGGTGGCGGAGGCGGAGGCGGCGAGCCTGTTTTGGCGCTGTACGTCGGGTTTCGGGAAGTACTGCAGGATTCGGTTTTGGAGCGGGTGTTGGAAGAGATGACGCAAGTGGCCGAGGTGGGTGCGGGGTAGGGAAGTGTGAGGGGCTTGAGGCAACATCCCGTCATCCACATCTTCGTGACATTGTGGTGGTGTGTGTGTGTGTTTTGTTTGTGCATATAATTCGGTTATTTCGGTTAGTTTGGTGTAAATTATTCGTAATGTTGGATAACACGTTTTATTTGTTTTGTTTACTTACTTCAGGCAGCTCTTGGGACTCCTGGGTGCTCCCCTAAGATGTACGGCGCCCCTAACACCCCCCACCGTTGGAGGACAGCGCAAGTTGTCCAGAAGTTGTAAAACACAGACATATACACACAACATTGATTCCCCTCCCCACCCCACCCCCTCCCCCGGTTCAAATCCCCCTCTCCTCACTCTCGCCCCCCCCCGCCCCCCCTTCGCTTCCCCTCGCTTTCCTGTTCAAAAACACACGCACACGTACATACATACATACATACACGCACACATACATACAAACATACACACATGTACACACAGCTCGTGGCCCCCAGCGTTCAGCTGCGTTTGCTTGGCCCGCTGTGGGCAGAGTGGGTCCAGATGAGCAATCGGTTGCTGCACCCGTCGGCGTTCATCGGCGGCCAGTCCGTGCTGTCACAGGGCCCTCTCCCGCCTCCCCCGGCGCTGGCAGGGGTGAGCTCCAGGAGGTGTCGACGGAGGAGTTCACATGAGTGGACGGGTACGACAGGGGGTACGACAGGGGGTGTCGGAGAGGAAAGGGGCAAAAGAGGGGGAAGGGAGGGGGGAAAGGACGGCGTGTGTATGTTTTGGTGTGGGGGGAAGGGGGTGGGGGTGGGGAGAACAGACGCACATGAACGAACGCATATACACATGTATGTATGTATGTATGTATGCAGATTTGGAGGGTTTGCTGTATAGTTTCTTAGGACGTTTAGATGTTGTTCACCGTTTTGTCACACACGCTTTCTTTCCCTTTTCCCCGTCCCCTCCCCCCGACCCCCCTCCTCCTCCTTCATTCCCGCCCCGCACTTTCCTAGAGGCGCTGGGTACGGTGGAATTGTGGCCTCCGTCCGCCTCCAACCTGTCATTTGCTCTGGAGGATCCCGCACCTCTCAGCCACCTCCAGGTGCGCATGTATGTACGTACGTATGTACTTATGCATGTATGTATGTACGTACGTATGTCTGTATGACTTAGGTTACGCTGTGGGCTGGTAAAGCCCCGGGGGCCGAGGTAATATCTGACCAGTATGATACGGTGGAGCCAAAGGTATAATTCTGACGATTTACGAATTGCTAGGATCGAACTAGCGACCTCTAGATCTTCAGTCTAGCGCTCTCCCAAATGAGCTAAATCCGCATGTCTTGAAGCACAAGATTGCACCTATGTAACGAGGGACAGACCGAAACTGAAACCCGGGTCGGGGCCACTCAGCACGGCTAGATTTGTGTGCTCCCCACCACCCCGACTCAGGCTCTAGCCAACACACGACGCAGCCACTCCGCAGCACCTCCATACCGGGGGGAGGCGCTGCAGTGACGACACACCACGACGGGCTCTCAGGTCCCGCTAAATCGAGTCCACAAGTCTCAGCTAGGGTTTTAGGACTCTCTGAAGTCCTCCCACTCCCCCCACTCAAAAGGGAAACCCGGGGAGGAGGCCGGCGGGGGCATATCGGTCGGGGGGGCCCTCCTGCCGCAGCAACACGAAACACACAATGGCCTCCAGGAAAAGGCGTATGTATGTATGTATGTATGTATGTATGTATGTATGTATGTATGTATGTATGTATGTATGTATGTATGTATGTATGTATGTACGTGTGTCGAAAGGGGGATGCAGAGCGCCTTGAGTATATAGCCGATCTGTTACCCCCGGCCCGCCCTTACCCGCCTCCGAAACCCACTTTTACCCCCTGTGTGAGTCACCCGAACCCCCGCCCGCCCCGTCTCACATACACACACACACGTCGGAGCGTTCCCTCTCCTGCATCAGGTTTTGGTCAACTCCCTTCACTCCACTCTTTCATCTATACAAGTGGAAAGGGCGCTGGAGGAATGGTAAGGGAGAGGGGGCCCCAGATGTGTGTCTGTATGTGTGTATACGTGTGTATGTAGGTGTGTGTCTGTATGTGTGCGTGTGTGATCGGGGGAAAAAAGAAGAAACAAGAACCATCATGGGGCCCAGCATGCGGTCTGAGAGCCGGTGTGTTTTTGAGATATCGCTCTTCGGGGCGGGAGAGGGGGGGAAAACCACGAACGAGATGTGGGGGGGAGGGGGGAGTTTTCTTTCCGTTTGGCAATGTTGTCTTTCCCGTAGGGTTTAGCAGTACGAAGCATCTCCGCTCATGGCTTAAACCAAGCTAGTGTACGGCAACAGCTGTACACTGGCTTCAGACGTGATGTAACACACACACACGTTTCTCCCCTCCCTCCCCCACATACATACATACATACACACAGTGCGGACTCCCCCCTGCAAGCCAATGACATGCGGGGCCTTGAGCTGCTTCAACAAATAGGACGAGGGGGCCAGGTGCGTGTGTGTGTATGTATGTGTGTTAGGCTGTTGTGTTTGTATGTGTTTTTCAGTATGACTTAGATTACACTGTGGGCCGCGAGAGCCGGGGGCTGAAGCCGAAACACAGCGCAAGGGTCGGGAGCACACAGCACAAGTATGTATGTATGTTTGTCTGTCTTATGTGCGGATTTCCTTTTTGAAATGAACCGCGTTGAGTGGTGTTGTGTGAGTTTTTGGATCGTTGGGTTCGTTGACAGTTGGACTGAGACAGGGGTTGGGAGGGCGGTGGGAGGCGTTTTGAGGGGGTGTCTCGTCCCCCCAATCCTTTCCCAAAAAGCATTTCCTTCTCTCTCGAAAACGTGCATCAAAAATCACACATGTGTGTATGTATATGTGTGTATGTATATGTATGTGTGTATGTATGTGTGTATGTATATGTATGTGTGTATGTATGTGTATGTATGTATACGCATGTACATACACCGCTGCAAAACCCTACTGCTCATTCTTCACCCCTCACCTTCCAATGCCCTCTCCCCCCCCCAAAACCCCTCCGTTCGGTGACCGCGACACGTTGCCGCTGCCGTGTACACGTGCATGTACGGCACAAAACACATCTGAAGGGTGTTGTCTACCGCGGCCGTATGCACGGCATCCACGTGGCCGTCAAAGTTATTCCCACAGCGGAGGGTGAGAGATTTGTGTGAAGAGAAAGTGGAGGAGGAAATTAAAGAGTAAATGAGGAGTAAATGAAGAGTAAATGAAGGGAAAGCGGAAGTTAAGGGTTAAGGTGACTTTTTGTCGTTGCTGATTACTGGGAGAGGGGATGGGTTGGGGGGTTTGGGTAAAAATGAATGATGTTATTACCGTACTGCCACTAAATGTTTGCGAGCCTAAAAGTTTGCGAAAGGTCCCGAAATAATTAATAATTCAAAATGCTTGCACTAAAACTTTGCGAGGGCTGGGCTGGAGTTTAAAATTGTTATTATGTTAAAAGTTTGCGAGCGCCTGCGGTACAAGCCGAACTTTGTGAACTTGAATGTTGAATCCAACGCACAGCAGGCAAAGCATCTGTATCCGGATAGGAGTATATAAGAGTCTGCTTGAAGCCGATTTCAGGTTTTGCCCCCCTCGACTGTGATTGCACAAGTCACAGCCTCCCGAGGCTATCCACTGAACATTCGGGAGTCTGGAGCCCACTGTAACAACCACACACACACACTGAACAGTTTCAGCACTTGATCAACACTAGGAACAGTGTTTCAATCCATAAGAACAAAATGCCATCAAGGCGCTGATCACAGGTACACAGCTTTGCGAGTCATCAAGAAGAACAAGTGCGCTAAATGTCGCAGTGGTTCCTCAGGGTTCCTCCATCTCTGTCCATCTACGCTATTGCAAGTCTGTTAGAACAACATGGATTGGCAGTTGGATACAACTGTTATTTCAAGCAAATCCTGCGAAAATCCGGAGTTTACAACTTTGCGAAGGGACGTCGGGAATTTTTCCGGTCGTACACCAATAACTTTGCGAGGCCCGCAAATAATTAATAATTTATTCTACAGATTGCGAGGACCCGAATAATTTATTATTTAATTCGCAAACATTTAGTGGCAGTACGGTATGATGTGATAGATGCGTTCTTGGGCGAGGCCCCGGGCGCGAAGCGCCATTCGGGGGCCCGAGCCCCCCGGGTTCACTGCTGTCAGTCAGTCAATCAGTGGCTTACATATCTCGCCCCGCAAAAAATAGCGTTTGAATGCTATATCCACTCTATATCGAAATGCCTAAGGAGACATCCCAGATAGATCGGAGCGCGACAAAGATAGCTTTCCATGGCTCCGAGTTTGACATAAAGTTACATATCTCGCTCCGCAAAAGATTGAATGTAGAAGCTATTATATCCATCGACTACATCCACCGGCAACAGGGGAAATTCCAGATAAATCGGAGAGCGACAAAGATAGCTATCGCACCGGGGCCGAGCCCCTTTTCGGCTTTGAAAAGCCGGCCCCCCTAGTTTTGTATGATTAATAATCCTTGCTCTTCACTCCTTGCCCCGCACCTTGAAATTAAATATGGTATAAAATCGAAAATAAATGAATTAATAAATAAATATTATCATTTATATGCAAAAAGGTGGCGGCGGCCTGGGTCCTGTGGACCGCGACGTTGCCTTCGAGCCGGACAACGCGGAGGCGGCCAGGCGAGCAGCAAGACGGCAGAGGGCCCTCCTGCGGGATGCCTTGGAAGTGGCGGCGAGCGCGGCGGTGGCACACCCGCACCTAGTGCAGGTACGGGCACGTGTATGTGTATGTGCGTGTGTGTATATGTGTGTGTTTGTATTTGTATTTGCGTCGGCGCGTATAGGTAGATGCCTGTTTTGGAAGTGGGAGACGGGGGGGAAATGGGGGGGGGAGGGAATTGAGCGGAGGGGAAAAGGGGGGCCCCGAAGGGAAGGAGGGGGGAAATTGGGGCTGGGTGGGGAAGTGTACACACGCTTTCTCCAAATCCGTGTGTGTGTTGTGTATTTCCCTTCCCAACCCCACCCTCCACGCCCCCTTTCCCCCCTCCTCCCGCCCACCTCGCTTTTGTCTTCGATAACGAAATACCTACCTACCTACCTACCTACCTACCTACATATCTACCCCTGCTTCAGCTACACACCTACTTCCCGGACGTCATGGTGGTGGAGTACGAGGGGGACGAGGGCAAATTCAGGTGTGTGTATGTGTGTGTATATGCGTGCTTTCCCCCCTCGCCCCCACAAGCTCGCCTTTTTGAAACCCATTTTCGAAATTTTTCCCTCCATCCATTTCCCCCAACCCGCAACCCCCCTCCGCAACCTCCCTCAGGCTGATGCACGTGGCCGATACGGCTCCAGGGGACCCTACGGGGGCCATCAACTTGGTGCTCGTACTCGAGTACTGCGACGGAGGTATGTACGGCAGTGTTTGACACCGTGGAGACATCGTGCCACTGTCTTTTCTCGCCCGCGCGGCCACCATTCTCGTATCGCTGTACACCTTACATGTTCCGTACATTTGATCTCTCCGCCAAGGAAATAATTGACGGTTGCTCCGTACGTGCGTGTGTGCGTATTGTGTTGTTCTCCTCTTACCCGCTTTCTTTCCCCGTCATCCCTTCGACGACGCAGCAGTGGCTTGGTTTTGCTCCTTGTATATGTGTATGGAGTTTCCCCCCACGCTTTTCCCTTCCCCCCTCCTTCCCCCCTCCTTCCCCCCTCCTTCTCC